ACCTACGAAAATAGCTGAAGTTTGTTGGGTTTAACTGAAATTTCTAGAATTTGCTGAACATCTCTGTGTGATTTCTCAACTGAATTTCAGCAGAATTATCAGAACTATCCATTATCTGAAAAAATTCAGTAAGCTGCTGGAACCTTTTAGAAAACCGAAGCACTTTAAAATCTTTTAGAACTGAGAGAAGTTCCAAAAAAATGTTTATGATATTTCTTACAAAAATAGAGGTTACCAAGCTCAAAGAGCAAAAGTGGCATCCCAGCAATAACGGTATCATTAGAATTTGGAAAGATATTCTAGATTATTCTAGTCTATTTTCAATTTTTTTGAATAAGTTCTTGAACATTTTTTTAACTTTTTAAGTACATATTAATTACATATTAATATTAATATCAACAAATTACAATTTTCCTTCAATTCGCTAAAAATTAATTAAAACATATGTATTATTACAAATCAAAAATTAATTGAAAAAAAGATTTACAAGTGATTCCCGAACAGTTATTTTTTTTCGGACCGCTACATTCTCCCCGAACCGTAATTTTCCCTACGGACCGTTATTTTCACGACGGACCATTATTTTCTCTAGGGACCGCTGAAATGAGATGGAGCCAAACTTTGCAAGTTCACTATTGAAGAGATAGGGAAGATTCTAAATATTGAAGCAATCCATGAGAAGCGCGTCAGCTTGCGTCAATGTTTTGTTCCAATATTTTTGCCGCACCCTGTAAAATCTCTTCTTGTTGTGTTTTTGACCTGCCAACCCCAAAATTTCAAAGATAGATCAAATTTGTCTGGCGGGTTTTTTCAGTGAGAAACTTCCGTTATGGGAAAAAAACGGACAGACAAACAAAAAAGAAAATGATGCGGCCTTTCTATTGATTGGTCCCTACACATGAACACACACGGCCATTTCTTCCTCTAGGTGGCTATGGCGAGGAGAGAAGGCAATTAGGTTTGCGCGTTCCTCGTGCCCCGCACACTATTGGTGTCTTGCATTGCCATGATGGTACGCAAGTCCCTGCATTTTTACGTTTCTTTTTCTTTTATTTTGGTACTTGAAAGTAACGTAAAATAATCGATTTCGATCTTTTTTCTCGGAAAAAAATTACATCCTTTTTTTACTCTTATTAACTTTTAATTTACTCTTTTTTTACTCTTTTTATTCATATATCAGCTCCTTTTCTACTCTTATTTCAATTGGCATTATACTTGTTCTTTATCGATCACTTTAAATGCAAATTTTTTACAGGTACGCTGCTAACACTACTTAAAGACGCATCACCCAGTACTTGGAACCACCTTGCACCACTCATTCGTTTTTTCTCGTCAAGTTCGGAATCGCTACCAATTTGCAAAATGAATATGTAATTTTTTTCGAATTAGATGTCACCGAAAATTATTATTTCAGGCCACGTTTGGAACTGGAAGTGAATCAATCGATCGGAAAATACGAAATAGTGGATAACGAATTCGGCATCGGTGCTTTTGCCCAAGTATTCGAGATTAGAGACACAAAAGGACCGAATTGTCGTCTTCTACTCAAGGCGCAGACTTTTAAATACTCACATTTCAAAGAATGGCGAATTTTGAACATAATGAAGAACGAGAAGGGATTCACCGATCTGCTGGACTACTTCATCATTGAATCCGACAACATTGACCATTTCTGTATGGGTAAGTTTTCTATAGGCTACTGAAATGTATTTTAATGTTCCAAATTTATACAATTAGAAGATTCCAGGATCTGAAAATTCGAAATTCAGTTATTCTAAAAATCCGGGAAAAAAATTCAAAAATTCTGAAAATCTGAAATTCCAAAATTTAAATATTAGAAAATTCGGAAATTGAGAAATTGTCGAGTTCTAAAATCAAAATTCCAAAATTTATGGAATTTTGAATTTCCCTATTTTCTCTAATAAACGCCCATGGGCTTCTATTTGTCGAAGCACCTTGCGGGGTGAGCTGCTATTAGAGGAAATACGGCATTTTCGTTGAATTAGAACTAGAACAATACATTTCAGGGCATCAACACATTATAATGCAACTTCATTGAATTTGGCGTTTTTCAGTTATCCCCTACCAAGGTGAAACCTTCGCCACAGTACTTGCAAGATCACCGGCTTCTCCAGAAAATGCAGTCCGGATTGCCTATCATCTATTCACACTTATCGAAAAAGTTCATGCCATTGGATTTGTCCATAGAGATGTGCACTACAAAAATGTGTTGATGGATATGAGCGTCGACGGGGTATGTTTTTATAATAGGTATAAGGAGAAAATTGACAGCTGGTTTTGAGCCCTAGTCTTAATTTTATATAATCTTTTTTTGGGTACGGTCATGAAACTTTGATATTGGGGTCCCTGACTGAAGACAGTTCAAATTTTAAATTCCAATTTGTCAAAATTCAAATTCTCAAAAATTCAGTTCCTCGAGATAACCCTTATCGATTTCGGAGTTTGCGAGCCTATCAATCCACCACCAGAGAAGTCTCGTATGTGCGCCAGACATCAAAGTATCCATATGTGTCGCTCGGCAAGATACTCGGTTTTTGACGACCTTCAGTCACTCGTGTTCCTGATCATGCAGTGCATTGGAATCACCCCGTTCTTGACTGACAACAAACAAAGATTCGACAAAAAATCAGCTTTCGTAAGTTTCTGTTTTTTTTTGTCGGTATTGATTACCGTAAAACCTGTAATAGAAGGGCCTCCACACTTTTAAGTTTGAACTAAATTATCTCACATGGAATGACTCCCAAGTGTTACCCTTGAAAAATTGAAACCTATATGGTTGGAAAGAGCGTAAAAGTTATTTTAGAATCCGAAAGGAATAGTTGATAAAAATTTTTTTGGGGAGTTATGGCCCAAAACATACCAAAAAATGATTATATTTCCAAAAAAACATAACTTTCTCTGTTTTTGTTCGTTTGTTGAAATTTGAAAAACAGTAGATAGACAATTAATTGAACATTTGAGAACTAAAATTTTAATTTTTTTCCTGTTGATTGGATTATTGATTTTTTGAAAAAATTAAACATTTTTCAATATCTCAAAAATCCTAGGTTAACTTTTTTTCATTATGATCATCAAATTTAGCACATTTGCTTTACTATAGAAACATATCAATACCCCGGGGGAAATCATGCTCACACAAGTAATGCCAAAAAATGTCGATTTTTGGCACTTGGCTTCTTTGAATTCGTTGTCCTCGGCGGCCGGTATGGTGAGGAGCACATTTGTTTTTGTGATTTTTACATGCATATAATTTGTTTAAAGTGTTTAAAACACAATTTAGTAACATATGTCTTAAAATTGCAACTTTGAAAAAATCAAAATTTTGACATGTAATAGGGCATATCTATGGGGCATATCTATCAAACTGTAATAGGGCATATCTATCGAACTTGATGAAAACAGCCAAACTCTTTTTTTTAAACATGATTAGAAGAACCTAATTCTTTCAACGGCTTGAACAGAATTTTGAGTTAAGCTTTATTGGTGGTGCAAAAAATGAAGTTGCAATTAATTATTTTCCGGTTTCAAATTCATTTTTGTGTTACATTGTTTTTCATATTTATTACGTTTTGTTTTTAAGTTTATTGTAACTCCGATTTTTTTGGACCACTGATTTCTTCATGGGCCTTCAATTATTATGGGCCTCTGTTCATTTACGAGCCTCGGATTCCAGCAGAGAGCCCTCTTTTAAGTTTACAGTTATGCTCCATTATCTCCATTGAAAACATTAGTAAATTAATAACTGTGCTCCGAATTTTTCCTTAAATTACATATATAACATTTAATACCATGAAATAAAAATATAAGAAAATGAATCAAAAGTTTGGCCGTTTCCATCGAGTTCAACTATAGATTATAGGTGTACCCTTGTCAAAATTTACCAAAGAAAGGGTCAGGCTCGGAAAATCGTAAATATTTTCATTTTTAGGGCCCAACTCAAAATCCTGTTTGAGCCGTTGATAGAATTAGGTTCTTTTAATTATGTTAAAAAAAGAGTTTGGCTGTTTTCATCAAGTTTGACCATAGATATGCCCTATTACATGTCAAAATTTTGATTTTTTCAAAGTTGCTATTTTAAGACATATTACGGCATTCGAATAATTGACTTTCTATGTTACTAAATTGTGTTTTAAACACTTTAAACTAACTATATGCATGTAAAAATCACAAAAAGAAGTATGGCCGTAGTCATACCGGCCGCCGAGGACAACGAATTCAAAGAAGCCAAGTGCCAAAAATCGACATTTTTTGGCATAACTTGTGTGAGCATGATTTCCCCCGGGGTGTTGATATGTTTCTATAGTAAATCAAACGTGTTGAGTTCAATGGTCATAATAAGAAAAAAAAAGTTAACTTGGGATTTTTGAGATATTGAAAAATCTTTCAGTTTTTTTCAAAAAATCATTAATCCAATCAATGAGAAAAAAAATTAAAAAACTTAAAAAAATATCAATAAATTGTCTATTCATTGTTTTTTAAATCTAAACAAACGAACAAAAACAGACAAAGATATGATTTTTTAAATATAGCCATTCTTTGGTATGTTCCATAACTCCCCAAAAAATTTTTTATCTACTATTCCTTTCGGATTCTAAAATAACTTTTTACTCTCTTTCCAACCATATAGATCTCAATTTTTTCAAGGGTAACACTTAGGAGTCATTCCGTGTCAGTTTCTAAAAAAGATGTCAAAGAAGTGTCAACTGATAAAATGTTTATAATGTTACGATAAACAATTTATCAGTAGACATATTTTTTATATCTTTGGCAGGAACCGAGTTAATGTAGCTAAAAGTAAAACGTTTGCTCTCTTATTACAGGTTTTACGATGATTTATTAAGGAGTCTTTTGATTGACAGCGAGGCAGACAACAAGCGGTTTTAAAACTTCTTCCTACTCATCCTTTTTTGTAAAAAACAAAGAAAAATGTCATACTAATCCCATGATGTAATGTTTTACTCATTTCAGCATGCCGATCCATATCGCTACTTTCCCAACCGAGACATCACGTGGATTGCGGATCTTTATACACTTATCGAGGATCAACGCGAGTCTGGATACCACTACAACAGCTTGTTGGATCTTCTGGATGAGGCGATTCCCGGAGTGGATCCATCTGAACCAATTCAATACCGTTGGAGAAATAACACATTTCACCTTGCCTAATAGTTTGCTTCAAATTAGCGTATCACTCGATTCATTGCTCCCCGTCTATCCATTGATGAGCCCGATTTTTCAATGACTTTTGGTTTCCATATACAGTAATAGGTTTCACGTTGTTTTCGACAAAAGTCGATTTTCATCATTTTTTCCTCTATTTGATTGTCTAGGATTCCCCATTTTTATCAGTATTAAAATATGATCAGATGTAGTTTAGGTAATTGTAACACTCCCAGTTGTGGCCTTTAGATTTTTTAATAAATGGTAAACTTGAAATATCCCGGTGCTTTAAATTTAAAAAATCCACATTTCGCGATTCGATTTTTTTTTCTCCTCAATAATCGGTGTTTTCCCTCTTAATGTTCCAGTGTTAAATATTCTATACATTTCTTCTCCTTTTGATGATAGATAAGCTTTTATGAGTGTTATCACTCCGTGTTCGCACAGGTTTATCTGTAAATGATTTGTCTTCCAACTTTTTTCCTTTTTTTTCCTTTATTTTTGCATTTAAGAAACCTATACTTCCCTCTAAGTCACACTTTTTCCTTATCCAATACAATTTTGATTGCGTGTACTGGTGCTATTACTCAAATTTCTTTCGACCCGTTTTGAAGTTGCCTTTTGCACTATGTAGTTGTGGAGCTTTCACAAGTTATTTTTTAAATTTTTTTATAGCCTTACTTTTTTCCTTCAAATTCGAAGTTGATGCTAATTTGAATTAAAAAAATTCTGAGCTGTTGCTAATTTTAATTTTTAAATTTTTGGTTGTTAATTCGACATGGACGCACACTGTATAAATGTGGACGCACACTGTATAAATGACTGGAGACGCAGACAGAGAGGGCATGCGATGAAGGAAGGGTTGGTGGGCGCCGCGATGTGAAAATCAATAACAGGTCCTCTTCTGCCTTCACTCGTGTGCAAGTGGCAGAGATAGTCTCTGCAAAAGATTCGCTCATCTGTGAGCCTCCGCCTGTTGGTCGGTTGGTGTGTCTCTCATCGACAGGCGATCTTACCTACAAAAATTGACCCCGAGAACTCTTATCGAGAGAGTAACAGACCTCGGCAATGTGCATCCGATCTTGCTCTCCCCTTAGTAAATCTAAGATACATTAGCGTTCGCGTTATGGTCCCTCCACCTTTCTCTCACTCTCTCGCCGGTCTCCTCTTTTTCTCCCTGTCAGTAATCATTTGCCTCGTACAGTCTGGTGACCTTTCTTCTGTTCTCTTCGTTTGTGGTTTCGCGGTGTCCATTTTTCGCAATTCAGGTTTTCTTTGAGATCTAATATAACTTATTTGAAATACCAGAATTCGAAAACATCGTTTGCTCCTGTTACTGACCCAATGTTACAAACATTTGGGATGAACAGTCGAGCACGTCGTATTCCATCGATAAAATTTGTGAAATTGTCAGTTAGTCCTCAAAATCTTCCCTCAGTTAACAGTTGAACTGTCGAAAAACTCTGAAAATTAATCTGAAAAGGTAAGTGCGGGCGTAGGTGTAGTTTTATTCATGAACTCTTGGTTCGGAGACGTTTTCTCTGAATACTCAAGACTTTTGTATAACATCACAATGGATGGAGTAATGTCGATGATGTAGCACATCTCGCAATGAAGTAAGACATTTCAAAGATTTGAGACATTCAACTAAATCAGAAATTTTCAGCTACTTCACAACAAGGCGGTTGCTTTGAATGGTTTTGATGCGTTCGGACTTTCAAGCGGATCAGTATTTGCCTAGTGTCATCGTTATGACGCTGAAAGTTGAAAACGATATTATGGACGCAATTGAGCGCAACAAGCCGCATCTCCGACATCGATTCAAGGCTATTGTGGTACCAAAACGTCACACGGCACATGCCCCGACAATGTCACTCGAGCGACTCCGGACTACAAAGGGAGCGCGAAGTCTGCTTTTTGTGTTCCTAGCGCACTGAAAAGGTAAGTTTTGCATTTTCAGAATTTTGACCAACACTACGTTGATTTTCAGGTAAAACCGCGATTGCATTCAGCAGCTCCACTACGAGATCTCACCTTTCAAAAATTCTGAAAGAAGGCGACCTGGTTTTAGTTCCAAAAGGGAAAACATGCTCACCGAGGGAGAGGCTCAATCCCGATACCTGGAACTGGAACCTTTTTTGTTGTTGAATGAGTGAACGTCGTGACTGAACCCGGTTTCATGAAACAAGATGGTTTGTTGTGTGCGTCAGACGACTTGGTTGCCAAAGAACCTTCTGGAACTGCGAAAGGAATTCATGTACGAGATGCTGGATTTGATGTTCTGTTTAAATAACAAACGGTGAGCTTAAAAATAGTTTAACTACCTCAGTCGAAAAATTGCGAATGGGCGTAGGCTTTTTTTGAATTTAAAGTCAAATAGTGATAAAATGATTATTTTCCAGACTATGCTCAAGGAACGAAGTCGTGGGATTCCATATTTGTCGGATGCCTATGAGCAGCTTCGCAACCGTCGTTCAGATGTCCACTGAATCCGAACAAGAAGAACATATCCTATCCTCCTCGATGAATGTTCAGCAGCAATTCAAGGAGACGCACAACCAGGTCGAAATAAATATAATAATGAAGAATCACGAACAAGTAAAGGTCACAATGGCATCTGTTGCGGATGTTTATAAAAATAAGACAATAAAGAAGCTCGCTAACAAGCAAGCAGAAAATGACAAGATTTCAATTTTGAAACTCTGCTCGTCGAATGCAAGGAAGTTGTTTTGAAGGGTACTTCGATTTGGCAACGGAATTATTCTAAACGCTCATCGATGAACTTCACGTGATTGCTGGAGGACAAGGTTCAATTCCAGCATTAACTTTCCACAAGATTGATCCATTTGCTGTAAATCCTAAGGTATTCTGATCATTGAACACTGCGTTGTCTCATAATCTATGTTTTTGCAGGTGACTTATTTTCTCGACCATGTCATTAATGGGAGCATTTTCTATTTATTCACTAAACATATGGCTTTCTTCTGGAACACTTTGGGCAAGGTGAAGAGTTTAAACTTCAAAGAGACACCAAAAGTCTTCGTCCACACCGATGTCTTAACTCCGCTACGGTGGCTTCCGCTACGGTGGAATCACTTAAATCTTGTTGCAAGGTTAGTTTTCATCAGCAGTCAAACTAAAAGATACATTCAAATTTCGAGAAACCGACGGAGATTCATCGGCAGATGTATGCATCTGACTCGCAAGTTGCTGATTTTTCCGCTTACTGGGACCAAAGTATGTTGTATTCAAAAACACCGATCACCGATGGGGTCTAACGTCAGACTTGGTATGTTTCTGATTCACACGTTGATCATGCATCAGCAATTTGCTCATCAGAAATGTGTGCGGAGTATTAGTTTTCTGAAATGACAATCGTGCCGAAGTAGAGACATTGTTGTTTTTGAGGATAAGTGGAACCTTTTGATAGTCCAAATTCTTCAGCATGCTCAAGATTTACCAGGAGAGAACCATGTGTCCAATGAATACACGTTTATCGATGACTTGAACAAGAAGATCAAGTAACCTCCTGCAAAATTATAGATGTTTGAATGACACCGCTTTCACTGATCAAAATAGCTCGAAGATCTGAGATTTT